AGCCGGCGGCGGGCACGGGAATGGAATGTTCACCCTCGCAGGGTCTCCCCGGCGGCACCGGCCCCGTTTTCCTAATCATGAACGTCCCCGAAAATGACATTTTGGGATTTGCATCGGCAAAAGGGCTCGGGGTTGGGTTCGGTTTTTGGTTGGTTTTTTGGTTTGTTTTCGAGGAGACGATGTGGGGTTTTTTTATGAGGCAGATGGTGGGAGTGGCTGCAGGGGGTTTGTGCCAGGCAGGTGTGCTCACCTGGGCACAGAAAGGGGTGCCAGGGAGGGGGGGCACCACGGGGGGTTCTGGCCCTTCTGGGGGCTGAGGCAGAGCGGGATTATAAAATCATAAAATATAAATTATAAAATTATAAATTTATTAAAAATCGTGATATAATTATATATATTTATCATATATTATATTATATATAATTATCTAATTTATATATAATATATAATATATATTATATATACATAATATATTTTATAATTTATATTTAATATATAAATACACAATATAATATATTTATATTTATTATATAAATATATAATATAGTATATTATGTATATATTTTATATATCATATATATGTGAATTATATAATGTATAATACATATTATATATTATATATAATTTATATAATACATAATATATAATTTATAATGTATAATATCTATAAAATATGTAATTATATATAATATAGTATATTTCTATAATAAATATAAATTATAAAATTATAAAGTAAAATTATAAAATCGTTGGAAGGGACCTTAAAGATCATCCAGTTCCAATTCCCTGCTGTGGCAATTCCCACTAGAACAGCCCCTGGATAGGGCTTGGAGTAACCTGGGCTAGTGGGAGGTGTCCCTGGGGGGTTGGAAGTGGATGGTCTTCAAGGCTCCTTCCAGCCCAAAACATCCACGATTCCAGGATTTTATGAACCAGGGCCACAAATAACCCCAAACAGGGGATCTGCTTCCATGGAAAATTGATCTCCAGTGGGGCAAAACACAAGTGGGAAAGCAGCAGCTCCCCCAGGGGTCCTGACCCCGGGTTTGGGGGGGGAGTTTTGCCCTCAGTGGGGGGAGTTTTGCCCTCAGTGGGGTGAGGAGCCTGGTCCAGAGCAGCCCTGGGACAAGGGGATTGTGTTTTCCAAGTCCATCCACCTGAGCAGCTCCTCCTTGGAGCTCCCAGAGAGCCTTGGCTGGGGGGAGGAGGGCTGAGGATGGGGCTGTGCATCCCTGACAGCCACGGTCCTGCCTTCCCTGAGCACTCCTGGGAGCCTTTTCCCTCCTGTGGGAATCTGGTGGGATCGTGGCAGAGCATTCTCTTCACCTCCAGGCCCCTGCTCTGGCTTCTCCTGCAGAGAAAGGAGCTGAGGATATGTGGGAATGGGGAATCCCAAGGTTTTCCTTTGCTTTGCTCCCTGCAGGGTTGGAGGAGAACCCACCAAAGCCTGTCCCGGATACAGGGAACATCCTGAAACAAGGATACCTGGAGAAGAGATCCCGAGGTAAGACCTGGAATCACAGGGTAAGGTTTGGGGATGCCCTGTCAGAATTGCCAATAATTCGAGTTTTCAGGGGAAGAACAAGCAGGAAAACATGGTTTGTTTTTTTATTTCCCTGCAGATTTTCACAGGCCAAATGTGCAAATTTTCTTTCTCATGGCCAAGGAGAGGGCCTCGATTTTTTTTTTTTCTCTTTTGCAGATCATCCAACTGCACAAAGATTAAACCCCCCCAAAAAATCGAATTAAGCAGCAGCCCAGCCCTCTGAGGCAAAATGTGCCCTTTTAACGAGCGATCCCTAATGAGGATAAAACCCCAGCAGTTGGGAGCATCACACCCATTAAGGGCTTGAGATAAGGCCCCTGAGTCAGCCTCGGGTTTATCTCCATTTTTACCAACTCCTGCGAAGGCCACAAATTATTTCCTCATCACTCCGATTTTATCCTGATTTATTTACTCTGTGACAAGGTGGGAGGAGGCAAGAACAGCCCCTTTTTTTTTATCCCATGAGCTGAGCTTAGGACTTGGTGCTTGGTTTAGCTTCCTCCAGCTGCAGATTAAAACTTATTTTACTTTTATATATATCAGGGAGGTTTAACCCAAAGCGTGTTCCTGCCCTTTCAGCATCACATCCGTCCGAAACACACGGTGAAAGGACAAAAATGACTGTTTTTCCCCTCTTTTGACGCCCTTTTCTTTGCCAGATCACAGCTTTTTTGGGGCAGAGTGGCACAAGAGGTGGTGTGTCCTCAACAGAAAGACCTTCTACTACTATGCCAATGAGAAAAGTAAGTGGTGAGAGAGACACACCCGCATTTGTTCCCAAAATATACAGGGAAAGGGATGAAAAAGAGAAGGGAAGAGCCTTTACTGTGAAGGACTGGATAAAATCTGACCTGGGAAGGCCGGGATTAATCCCTTATCAGGGTTCTAGAAAGGCAGAGCTCAGCTTGATTTAATTTTTTTCCCCCTTGATGGGGATGAAACGAGAAAAAAGGGGACAAGGAATGGAGCTGAGGGGGGGGGAATAAAAGGCTGTTCCAAGTTTTCCATGAGCTCCAGCCCCCGGTGCCTGTATTTAATCCTCGTGCCGGTGGATATCAATATTTTGCTGTCGTGCTCCATCAGGTCCATCCCGACAGGAGATGGATGGGCTTCCCAGGATTCCAGGGGCAGGAAAAGGCCCTACAAACCCCCTTCCTATCCAGGGGTTCCAACCCGCAGCAGGGACAGGGTTAAACCCCAGGGGGGGGTCTGAGGGTGAAGATGGGTCTTTGTCCTCCTCCCCCGTCCTTTGTCTGAGGAGCTCCAGCACTTTTTGTTTTCCCAAAGGAGCTTCCCAACTCCTCCCATCCCATCCCACCCCTGGGGTGTGAACTGCTGCCCGGGGGTTGAGGTTTGGTGGGTTTTGGGGTTGTTTGCTCCGGGGGTTTTGGGGGATGAGCAGTTTTCACCTTCCAAACAATCTCCAGGGGACGGAGCGAAGGAATCCCGGGCTCCGTGGGTTTCGGTGGGGTGGAATTCTTGTGGAAACTCCCAAATTTAGCCCGTTTTTCTGCTTCCAGGCAAGCAACCAAGAGGCACCTTCTCCATCGAGCACTACAGTGCCCGGCTGGTTTCCCACCTCCGCAAAGATTCCCGGAAAAAATGCTGTTTCGAGTTAACCTGCCCTGGCAAACGCACCTACGAGGTAGGAAACGGGGGGGAAAACATGGAATTCTGGGCTGGGAATAAAAGCCCATGGTCCCAGGTGTAGGGGTTGAGGTGCAGGCTGGACTTGCAGGGTCGGGAGGGCTGGGAATGTCTAAATTCCTGGGGAAACCCCGATTTGTTTTCGCGGTGAGGGTGGCACAGGTTTTCCCAGAGAAGTGGTGGATTCCCAATCCCTGGGAACACCCGAGGTCAGGTTGGATGAGGCTCTGAGCAGCCTGGGCTGGCTGGGGGTGTCCCTCATTTCAGGGGTCGGTGGGTTAGGTGGCCTCCAAAGGTCACTTCCAACTCCAAAAAATTCCATAATTCTGCGATTCCACGGAAGTCAACAGAGAAAAGGAAACGTGGGCTCAGTGGATTTCAATGGGCTGAGATCGTTTTATAGGAATGAAATCCTTGAGTGGGGCTGAAATCCTCTGTAGGGCTGAAATTCCACAAAACCAGCAGCACCTCGGGAGGGGCTTCTCCCCACCTGAGCAGGGACCTTCCCTGGGCACGGGGGGTGATCCCGGGCTCTCCCAAGGGATCAGGGAGAACAGGGGATGGAACCAGTCGAGGATCGAGTTGGAAAAGCCCGGTTTTAACCAAGCCCTGCAGAGCCAGGATAAATATAAACCTGCAGTTTATTGAGCATCCAGGAGGGAGCCTAAAAATCCAATCCACAAAGTGGGAATGAGAGCCTGGATGGGCTTCAGGGAGATTTGGGATGCAGGGCCCTGGATCGGGGCCGGCAGCAGAGCCCGTTCCGTGGGGAATCGTGGTTTCCATCTGAATTATTTTAACGAATTGAGCTTGACAGGCTTCCTCTGGGATGGGTCTGGCTTTGTCCTGCTGCTCTTTCCCTGCTTGGAACAGGGAGATAAAGCCCTGGAATGGCTTTTCCTGCTGTCCCAGGGTGGACAATGGCAGAGCCGGGATCGCCATTCCCTGTTTCCAAAGGACTCCTCCCAACCCCCTCGGGGTGTGAACTCCTGCCAGGGGTGGGGGCTGAAGCCAAGGGATGAGGTTTGGTGGTTTCTGGGGTTGATATTTAGCTGGTTTTTTTTGGGGGGTGAGCAGTTGTCACCTTCCAAATCTTCTGCAGAAGACAACAGAGAAAAGGAAACTCAGGCTCAGTGGATTTCCATGGGCTGAGATCATTTTATAGGGCTGAAATCCTTGTGTGGGGCTGAAATCCTTTATAGGGCTCAAATCCTTTATAGGGCTGAAATTCTTTTATAGGACTGAAATAATTTATAGGGCTGAAATTTCAACCCTTTTATAGGGTTGAAATTCTTTTATAGGGCTGAAATCCTTATGTAGGACTGAATTCTTTTGGTGTAGCTGAAATCCTTTATAGGGCTGAAATCATTTATGGGGCTGAAATCATTTATGGGGCTGAAATCCTTTTATGGGGCTGAAATCCTTTTATAGGGTTGAAATTTTTTTATAGGGCTGAAATCCTTTTATAGGGCTGAAACCCTTGTTCCAGCTGCAAATCCCATTGCTCTCCCTCCAACCCAGCCCAGTAACAGCTGCCCCTCTCTCCAGTTCACAGCCCCAAGCCCAGCAGAGGCTGAAGACTGGGTGGACCAGATCCAGTTCCTCCTGAAGGGTGAGTTTGGCCCCATCCAGCGTGTCCCGTTTCTTTGGGAAGATCCCGACAGCACCTTCCCACCCGGGAACACTTTGACACCAACAACACTTCCAGCCCTGCCTTTGGAAAAACCCTCTGGAAAGCAAGGGCAGCTCTGTTCCTTGAGGCACACGTGGAATTTGACTTTGTTCTCTTGGATTTCCCGCTTTTCCTTTGTTTTGGCCAATTCTCAGCTCGTTTGCGCCTCTTTTGTTTGTCACCTCGGATGCTCCCGGGGGGCAGTTCACACCTTGAGCGGGCACAGAGGTTGGTGCGGTTTCCCCTGGCTGAAAGTGGGGGATTTGCTGGTTTTCACCCCGTTTTTTTTTGCTCTCCCCACCCCAGACCTGAGCTCCCTGACTATCCCGTGCGAGGAGGAGGAGGATGAGGAAGAGCTCTACAACGACGTGGAGAGCTCTGACTCCATGAACACCTCCCACAACACCACCCTGACCCAGGAGGAGCCCAATGTGGAGGTGGAAGGGGAGGACATCTACGAGGTCCTGCCAGGTGAGAGCCCAAAACCCAAACCGTCCTTTTTGCTCTTCTCCCCCTGACCCAAAATCCAAACCATCCTTTTCCTCTTCTC